GCCCTAGAGGGCCTCGAACCTCTGACTAGTCTTACACGGTCTGCAACAATTTGGCTCTCTGACCTCCTCTGATAATATCACCTCTTATGTATTGTTGGTGGTGGTAAGTGCCATCAAGTCGGGTCCAACTCATAGCAGCCCTATAGGACTACCAAGGAGCGACTGGTGAGTTTAAACTGCCAAACTTGTAGTTCAAACTGACTACAGTCTAGTCCTTGCAGTCCAGTGCTTTATCCCATATCCACACTAGGACTTCTTATTTACTAACCCGCTTTAGCCCACAGCGCCAAACCAGGACCCCTTACTTAATAGCCCCTTTATTTGCAGGTAAGAGTAAGCAGTACACTACTCACCAGCTGCTCTGGAGAAAGATGAGGCTGTCTGCGCTCATAAAGATGTACAGTCTTGTAAAATAGGATTGTTATGAGTTGGAATAGACTTGGATGGCAGTGGGTTTGATTTTTGTTGGTTATTGGCTGTTACTTGAGCATGCCAAGTGTCAAGGGACTTAGTACACTTTTTTTGTCCAGTACTAGCTGGATGGCTCACTCCTTTACTTCTTCAGGATTCTGCTCAAGTGTTACTATATTAATGGACCTTCCCTGACTTTCCTACATAAATAACAGTGTATTACTCCGGTACTTCCTATTACCCTGTTTAACATTTTATTTCCAAAATACTTTCATCATCTGGCATTTATGTTAATTAATTTATTTGCCATCTCCTCCCACTAGAAAGTTTAGAAGCTCCTTGAGGATAGAGAATGTGTTTATGTTGTTTTATATTGCTATATACCCAGAAAGAGGAAAGTATCAGGTTCTAAATAAATATTAATTTAGTAGTTGAAATTAGTTTATGAGGACCAGTGACATACATAGTGGCAAGATTATACAATTTGTCCATCTTTCTTCTTTTCAGTGATTAGAGTTGCATTACACGGTCACTCAACAGTGTTGATATTGGATGAGTATTTGGTTTAAATATGATTTGACTTATTTATGTATCACAAAATATTGAGCTGTGTTGTTTTTTTTCTCCCTTCTAATGTAGATGCCAGAAGAAGAAGCTTTCTGTGTGTTTGTTAAATTAATGCAAGACTATAGACTTCGTGAACTTTTTAAACCAAGTATGGCAGAATTGGGCCTTTGTATGTACCAGTTTGAATGCATGATACAGGTAAATGTGTAGTGTTAGCAGAAAGGCATACTATCTTGAATTTTTTTTAACTTGGTTTGAAAGGCAGCTAAGCAAATTAAATGTTAAAAGCATCAAAGGAATTGAACAGTAAGTGTTTTAGTCGCATGGTTATTTTTTGTTCGCTTAATACAAATCATATTTAGTCTTCCAAATTAGGAGCTCTTTGTAGGTACATCATAATCTATAATGTGACTATCTTTTTTTATTCAAATCTTAGGCATTTGTGCCAGTCATACTATAACCCGGTTACCTAAAGTACACATGTCTTCTAATTACATCCTATGATTCATCCTATGATTCTGCTGCAGAGTTGAAGCTCTCTTACAGGTGTCGTGACATTATAACACTGACACAAACCCATTTATGTTTGTCTTTTCTGTCTTTTTCAATCTCACTTTTATATTGATAATTTAAGGTGGATTCTAGTGACTACATGACCGTGGAGGAATCAAGATCAGGTGAAAAATATCTTTGAAATATTTCATCTTTCTGGGGTTAATTTTTTTTTTTTAATGTTTTATTGTGAATTATGTGATAGTTTACATGGAAGAACATTAGCTTTACATTCATCCTATCTTATTTCGTTTCATTGCAATGACTACAGTCTCCTCCATGCATCATCAAACTACCAAATGGTATACCCTGCAAGCCTGCCACCTGGTCGTCAGCACACAGCCCCTCTCCCTCTCTGGGTCTAGAGTCCCCAGCCACTCCATCTCTCCATGTCATCATCTCTGCCTCCATCTCTGGCATCACTGCTTCTCTGAGTAGGGTCCCGCATTCTGCTCTTCTCCCTTGATGGTCCCCTCCACTCCTAGACTGCAAAGTCAACCACTCCCCTCCTTTTGCAATAAAATGTCTACCTTTACATTTCCAACCCTCACAGTCAGTCCTGATTGTAATTATTCACTATTGTACCACATGAGTGCTATCCCCATCTCCTTTCATCAGTCCCTCCCAGACAGATTGGATACTACTCAGTGGAGGTTCTACCTTCCTCCGCACCCTCTGGATCTAGTCTCCTTCGAGAAAGCTTGTAAGCCAGTCGCTTCTTGCCTTTGTAGCCCCCCTCCCCATTTTGGGTAAGCCAGTGCCCAAGTTGTCTGGGCTTAATTTTTATAGAAAATAATTTTACTATGTTGCCCAATAATAGAGTAGTGTAATGTTTTCATTTACTTAAATTTCAATTAGAATATGCCATTTGGACGAATCTTTTTTTTTTTTCCCTGAAAAATCTTACCCATAAGAATTATAAGCACCTAAGTCTTTTTTATATTAACTTTATTTTTTAACACTTTTTTATGCTTTAGGTGCAAGTTTACATAGCAAATTAGTTTTCCAGTCAGTAGTTCATACAGAAACGGTTCTGTGACATTGGTTGAAATCCCCCTTGATGTAGTAGCCCTCTCGCTGTTTATTCCCTGGGTTCCCCATTTCCATTCATCCAGTTTCCCTGTCCTTCCTTGACTTTTCCTACCTTTGGTTTTGGGCAGATGTTATCTTTACAGTCTCGTATAATTGATGGCTTAAAGAATACATTCTTTGCAAGTGTTATTGTTTGTTTTATGTTGTTGTTAAGTGCCTTCAAGTCAGTTATGACTCATAGAAACTCTGTATAGGGTTTCCAAGGAGCAACTGGTGAATTTGAAGTGCCGACCTGTGGTTCAAACTGACCTTGCAGTCCAGTGCGTTATCCCATCGTACTACATGTAGGCCCGTCTGTTTGACTGAAAAGTGATTTCCAGGAGTGTCTTCAGTTTCAAATTACAAGATTGTCTCACAGAAATAGTCTTGGGTCCCTTAGTCTCTTTTAGACCAGTAAGTTTGGTCTTTTCTTTAATTTGAAGTCTGTTCTACATTTTTACCCATTCTAACCAGAACCTCCTATTGTGGTCTTGGTCAGAGTAATCGGTAGTAGCAGTCACCATCTAGTTCTTCTGGTCTCAGGTTACAGGAGGCTGTTGTTCATGGACTGTTAGTCCTTTGGACTAATTGCTTCCTTGAGTCTTTGTTTTTCTCAATTCTCCTTTGCTCCAGACTGGAAGAGACCAATATTTGCTTCTTAGATGGCCGCTCACAGACTTTGAAGTTGCTACTTACTAGGCTAGGATGAACATTATCTTTATAGACTGTGTTTGGCAGTTGACCTAGATGTTCTCTGAGACTGTGGTTCTTGATCTTCAAGTCCATTTCGTTCAGTACTGATGCCTCAAGTAGTTTGTACAACTGAAGCATGCCAGTCTTTTGATAATTCGAAAATAGTTGCAGCACAAGAACACCCGTATTTGCAGATAGTACCTATTTGACTTGGCTTCAATGGCTGGATGATCAGAACTCGACTAGAGAAAGAAAGTAGAGGAAAAAAAAGAGTAATCCACTACAATTTCATGAATTTGACCTATGTTTGTGGATGCAGTAGGTCAAAGGAGGGAACAAATCTTTACAGCAAGGATCATTCCCACCCCCTTGGTACACAGGGTCAACAAGGATGGGCAACTTAGACATTGGCTGCCCAAAATGGGAGGGAGGGAGGCTACAAAGGCAAGAAGTGACTGGCTTACAAGCTTTCAATAGGGAACCTAGTTCCAGAGGGTGCAGGGAAAGGTAGAATCTCCACTGAGTGGTTTCCAGCCTGTCTGGACAGGGCTGATGAAAGGAGATGGGGATAAGACGCTTGTGGTTCAGTTAGTGAATGATTACTATCAGGACTGACTGTGAATGTTGGAAAGGTAAAGGTAGACATTTTGTAACAAAAGGAGGGGAGTGGTAGATTTTGCAGTCCAGGAGCAGAGGTCCCTGGGACCATCAAGGGAGAAAAGCGAAGTGTAAGACCCTATCCAGAGAAGCGGCGATGCCAGAGATGGAGGCAGAGACAATGATGTGGAGCAGCTGGGGACTTTAGACTCAGGGAAGGAGAGGGGCTATGTCCTGACGGCTGATGGGCAGGCTTGCGGATGTACCCTTTGGTTGTTTGATGATGCATGCAGGAGATTGTAATCATTGCAATGAAACAAAATAAGATAGGATGAATATAAAGCTAAAGTTCTCCCATGTAAACTATTACATAATTCACAAGAAAAACTTAAAAAAAAAAAAAGTTGCAGCAGGAACTGCCAGAAATTCAAGTCATATTCAAAAGAGAAAGTGGAACAAGGGATATCATTGATGATGTCGGATGTATCTTGACTGAAAGTAGAGAATACCAGAAAGATGTTGACCTGTGTTTTATTGATATGCAAAGGCATTCGATTATGTGGATCACAACAAATTTTGGATAACATTGCAAATAATGGGAATTTCAGAACACTTAATTGTGCTCTGTATATATATCAAGAGACAGTTGTTTGAACAGAACAAGAGGACATTGAATGATTTAAAAATCAGAAAAGTCATTTGAACTGCAAGGTTGGTGGCTCAAGCTTACCAGCTGCTCCTCAGAAACCCTGTACAGGGTCGCTATGGGTCGGAACCAACTCGACAGTACTTAGCAACAACAACATTATAGTTAAGACAGGATAGAGAATGACAGACATCCATGTAACCCCAAGCAAAAATTAAGCAATGTAAAAGTCATATTTATTCTTTTGATTAATATAGGAAATGCTATAAATACCCCTGAAGTTCCAACTTCACATCCTCCTCCTTTCTTCCCTTCCCTGATACTAACCTCCAATTTCTACATCTTAACTTTTCCCTGTGCATGGTATAGGTATCACATAGACTAAGCTAGTGTATATATAATTATCTAATTTAAAGCACTTAGTTTTATATGGTTTAACAATTTTTTTCCCTTCTCTTTAGGAACATCTTCCCGAGCTCTTTGTACACTTTCAAGCTCAGAGTTTTCATACCTCAATGTATGCATCATCCTGGTTTCTGACTATCTTTCTTACAACTTTTCCACTATCAACTGCAACAAGGATATTTGATATCTTTATGTCTGAGGTAAGCTAATGGGTTGTCTGGGTGGCACAAATGATTAAGTGCTCAACTGCTAGCTGAGAAGTGAGTGAACCCCAGAGGCACTTGGGAAGTCAGACTTGATCACAGCCTTGAAGGCCCTGTAGAGCAGTTCTACTTTGACACATGGTTCTCTGAGTCAGAATCAGCAGTAACTAACAACAACATCGAGTAAAGAGGTGGTGGTACCTGTTCCAACTCATAGCGACCCTGCATTTCTGAGGCTGTAACTCTTTATGGGAGTAGAAAGCCTCATCTTTCTCCCATGGAACGGTAGTTTTGAATTTCTGACCTTGAGGTTAGTACTCTGACTTGTAAATCGCTACACTGCCAGAGCTCTTTAGCTTCCAAAGAGGTAGTAATATATAAATAAAGGGGTCGTTGGGTTCATTAGAACAGGACAATGAGGAAACATTAAGGTAGATCCATGTGTTCTGTGTTAAGGTGCTTACATAGATAATTTCATTTAAAGTTTATAACAGCCCTATCAGATGGATGCTGTTATTATCCCCATTTGATACATGAGGAAACTCATACTGAGGCACATGGAGAGGTTAAGTAGCTGGTCTGTGCATACACAGCACGGGTAGTGTACTGGTTTATGAATCCGGCTGCTAACCTTAAGGTTAGCAGTTTGGAAACCACCAGCTGTCCCACAGGAGAAAGATGAGGCTTTCTGCTCCCGTAAAGATTTATAGCCTCGGAAACCCTGTACAGGGTCGCTATGAGTCAGAACTGACTCCATGGCACATAACCACCACCACTAAGTGACATAGTAAGTTGTTGTTGTTGTTGTGTGCTGTGGAGTCAGTTCCGACTCATAGCGACCCTGTATAAGGTTTCTGAGGCTGTAAATCTTTAAGGGAGTAGAAAGCCTCATCTTTCTCCCACGGAACAGCTGGTAGTTTCGAACTGCTGACCTTAAGGTTCGCAGCCCGATTCATAACCAGTGCGCTACCAGTAGCCAGGGTTAAAATGTAGGCAAATTCTGGAGCCCACACTTTTAATCAAATCTCTGCATTACCTTGTGATTGATACAGTGAGTGTTCTTATTGTTAAGTGCTGTGGAGTCGATTATGACCCAGAGCAATCCTGTATAGCGTTTCCTAGGAATAGCTGCTAAACTTGATCCACTGACCTTGTGGTTCAAACCAACTTTGCGGTCTGTTGCATTACCCCACAGCACCACACCAAGACTCCCTAGTGAGAGTTAGTAAAAGGCTAAATTTGCCTTACAGTTAATATTTTTACAAGACATTTGTTACTCAAGGCAAGATCTGTCATACTGAAGTTAGTAAAATTGAGCTTCTAGGTAGTCCTTTTAATTGTCAGTGACATATAGTGATCTTTGTCTTTATTCTCTGAACTCTATTAATTGTTTTAACATCTTGGGAACATTATAGTACCTAGTTAGATTAGTTTAGAGTCCAGGTGTGGTGCTGTAAGATAAGCACCAGGCCACAAGGTCGTTTGAATCGTAAGATTGGTGGTTCATATTCACCAGATGCACCTCGGAAACCCTATACAGGGTCACTAACCACCACCCAGCGAGATAGATTGGCAAACTGGCAGCATCAATGGGCTCAAGCGTGGCAACAATTGTGAGTTTAGCCCAGGACTGGACAGTGTTTCGTTCTGTTGTACATAGGATCGCTATGAGTCGGTACTAACTCGATGGCACCTCACAATAACAACAACAACGGAGTTGGAACCTACTCGACAGCACTTAACAACAACAACAACAGTTAGATTACTTTACAGAAGTTGGCAGAATACAATGTGTTAAATCTGTCCTGCTGCCTGTTATTGTAATGAAGTTTTCTTAGAACATAGTCACTCCTGTTTCTTTATGTGTTGTCTATGTCTGCTTTTGGGCTTTACCAGCAGAGTTAAGAAGTTATTACAGATAGCATGTGGCCCACAAAGCCTAAGATATTTACTCTCTGACTTATTAAGTAAAATACTTTCTGATCTCTTAATGTTATTTTGAGTGATCAATTTTTGTTGATGAAGAGTAAGACAAATTTGATTTTATGTACTTTGTTTCCTCAGGGTCTAGAAATAGTGTTTCGAGTAGGATTAGCACTTCTTCAAATGAATCAGGCAGAACTAATGCAACTTGACATGGAAGGGATGTTGCAGGTAAGTCAGTTCATGATTTCTTGAAGGTCTTTTGATTTAACTCTAATTTGTTAGTAACACTAGGCACTAAATACTTCTTATGTTTTTCTTTTATTTTATCTTAGCACTTTCAAAAGGTCATTCCACATCAGTTTGATGGTGGTACAGACAAATTAATCCAGGCAGCTTACCAAGTCAAATACAACTCAAAAAAAATGAAAAAGTAAGTACTACAAAGTTATAGTAAAGTCAGAATGGATTAAGGACCATTTGTGCATCCACTACCAGCAATTGTTGCTAAAACCATAGTGTTTGTTGTTGTTAAGTGCCATCAAGTCGGTTCTGACTCATAGCGACCCTCTATAGGATATCCTAGGAGTAGTTGGTGAATTTGAACCACCAGTCTTGCGGTTCACACTGACCTTATGATCCAGTGCTTTTCCTGCAGCAGCACACCAGGACTTGTGCTAAGACCATAAACCTCTCAAAACAAAACAGTAGTAATACGTTGGAACCTAGTGTTCTACGATGGAATCTTTGCAATAGCAACAAAAGACAAAATATGGTTGGTATTAACCTTTCGATCCAGGGCAAGATATTAAAGTAATACGGTGGTACTAAGTTTTGTGTGGCCTATAGAGGTTTTTTTTTAAAAGATAATTTAGGTTTCTGGGTGGTGTAAGCAGTTTGTACTTTATTACTAACAAAAAGGGTGATGATTGGAACCTACCCTGTGGTATATGGGTTAAAGGCCTGTACTTTGCTTCTATAAATATTACAGCCAAGAAAAATGGAGCCCTTCTATTCTCTACCACATGCCATGAGCTGAATTGTCTTGATGACAGTGGGGCTTTTTATTTTGTTTTAAACTTACTGTAGAATTGTAAAAAAGTATATTTCATTTCTCTGCTATGTCTTCTTCCTCTTCCATTCTGTAACAGTTCTTCAGCCTTTTCTTGTCTTTCATGACCCTGGCACTTCTGAAGGACTGGTCAGTTGTTTTGTAGAATATCCTTTGATTTGAGTCTGTTTGATGTTTTCTCTTGATCAGATTGCATTATTGGGAAGGATTCTGACAAGGTGCCTTTCTCAGTGCATCATGGTAGCAGGTGCATGATAATATTGATTGCATTAACCTTCAGTAGCTGACTCAGATGCTTTCTGCCAGGATTCTCTGCTATAAACTTACAGTTTTTCCCCTTCTACTGTCTGTTGTTGTGCTATCAAGTCTGTTCTGACTCATAGCAACCCTGTCTAGGGCTTCCAAGCAGTGGCTGGTAGGTTTGAACCGCCAACATTGTGGTTAGCAGTCCAGTGCTTGCCCTACAGCACCACACCAGGTCTCCTTAGTACTAAATATTTTGAGAGAGATACTTTGAGACAAATACTTAAATTTTAGCCCCCTACTATTAGCATCCATTGGTGATAATATGTCTGCTGCAGTTATTGTGAAATTCTAATGGTGATTTTTCTGTTAACTTTGTTCTTTCTGTGTTTATTGATTGGAACTCTTCTATAAGGAAGAATTGTTCCTCTCTCAAAGTCTACTTTAGTATAAAGTTTTTGGATAAGAGCCAGTTGAAGTGTACATATGCGTTTTAATTGGTAATTCTTTTATAAGTCCAGGTCTGTTTGTTGTTGTTGTTAAATCTGTAAATTCAGTCCTGTGTTTACTGCCTTTTAATTTTGTATTTCATTTTCTCATAATAAATGTCTCAAGTTCTAAATTGGGGAAACCTGAAGAAATTTTATTTTGTATGTAAATACACTAATACCTATGAGAGCCAGAACTCAATGAAACTGCCTTGTTTTTCTGAGTTTTGCAAAGTTTCTGCCTTTGGCAGCATATACAGTCATACTACTTTTCTGTCACTCCCTATTAGTGAGAAATACTTGTGTGTTCCTTCTCTGACAAGTGTCCTCCATACATAGTGTCTGGCTTCCACAGATTGTACTGTACATGGTATTTTAAATTTATAATTTAATAACTACTTTTAAGTGCAAACATACCCTTAACTCTCTTTTTCCTTCTTAGGCTTGAAAAGGAATACACTACAATAAAAACTAAAGAAATGGAAGAGCAAGTTGAGATTAAAGTAAGCATCTTGAAACTTTTAAAAATGTTGAAGATAAATCTAAGTCAGTTTTTGGCAATAGGATATTGAGTTGTGTTGTAACAATATGCAACTTAATATCCTTTTGATATTGAGTTACATTGTTATCTATATATGACATATATAGATAAAGTTATATTGTTATCTATGTACATTAAATTCAGCAATGAAATTTGTTTCTATTATATTTATTTACCATTCCACTAAATTGTAGTTGAAAATAGACATTTCACAACTCAGAATAATATGATACAGAGACTTCTAGTGTGATAGAGAGCAGTTCTTACCTCTTTCTGGGTTTGTTGGTGGGTCATCAGGACAAAATACTTCCATGGGAACGATAATTAAAATGTGGCAGGAAAGCTAATTTAGACCACAATCTGTGCTGAGACACTGCACTACAATCTGAGGCGGGCCAAATAGAGCAAATCATTATACTCGAACTAATTACAGCTGCCTTATAGCTGCAGAGTTTTTGACTAATTCTGTTTACTCTTCTCTAAGTAAGAATTATACTTTTGAACTACTGTCCTCTAGAGAAACAGGTACATTTAAAATTCAAATAAAAAAACAAAAAACAGACCCGCTACCACCAAGTCAATTTTGACTCATAGCAACTGTATATATAGGGTTTCTGAGACTATAAATCTTTATGGGAGCAGACAACCTCATCTTTCTCCCATGGAGCAGCTGGTGGGTTTGAACCACCAACTTTGTGGTAGCCTGATGCCTAACCCAGAACAACACAAGGACTCCTTCAAATTCCCTATGTTGTTGTTGTTGTCAGGTGCCATCGAGTCGGAACCGACTCATAGCGACCCCATGCACAGCAGAACGAAACAATGTTCGATCCTGGGCCAACCTCACTACTGCTGCCACACTTGAGTCCATCAATGATGGGGGTCTTCCTCTTTTTCTCTGACCCTCCACCATACCCAGCATGACATCCTTCTCCAACAATTATTTCCTCTGGACAATATGTCCAAAGTAGGAGAGACGAAGCTTAGCCATCCTGGCCTCCAAGGAGCACTCTGGCTTCACTTCTTCCAAAACAGATCTATTGGTTCTTTTGGCAGTCCATGGCACTTTCAGTATTCTCCTCCAACACCACAAATTCCCTATATATGCCGTAAAATTCTTGTTTGTGCCCTTTGTAGGCAAGGAATTCATAAGTTGAGGATCTTTTGGAGTCATTGTGAGGTGGTGGTGGTGTTGATACGTGTCATCACATCAGTTCCAACCTTAGTGTCCCTGTACAGGGTTAAGGAGTGGCTGGTGAGTGTGAGCTGCCAACCTTGCAGTTCAAACCAACCCTGTGGTTGAGTGCTTATCTTACAGAACCACATGAGAAAGCCCATTGGGAGGTGGAATTCAAGAAAGTTACATTTGCTTTTATGCTCATTAGCGGAAGCATAAATTAGTCAAGGAACCTAGTGACGGACAGATCAGTTACTTTCATCCTTTCATTTCCTTTGCAAAAGGAAGCCAAACCAAAAAATTTTATTGAGTGACTTTATTTTTTTTTACTTCATATTTGAATATACCAATACCATTTATTTGGACCTGACAAGATACCAGAAGACCACCTTATTTACAATTAATTATCAGTGTATTAATTAAATTCTGCTATTAAGTACCAGTCTTGTACACACCCTGCAGGTATCTTTTGCAAGGGAGTGGGTTCTGTTAAAGGTCTTGTGGGGAGATAATCTCATAACTATGGCCTCCCTTTTTAAGTCTTTGGATTCCCATTGCTATCATCTATTTCCTGTCAATTGAAAATAGATACGTAAATATTTTTTTGAGAGAGAGACATGACACTTTATGTATATACCCCCCCACCAACTCCGTCTTTTTTTCTTTAAATTTTGTCATCCAACTGCTGCTCTACTATTTGCTTTTCTTTTAGGTACCATGAGTAAGGGAAATATTAAATCATACCCTGTACTTCAACCTACTGAATGTAAAAAACACCTCATCCTGATGAATGGGGCAAGAGTGTGGGTTTTCGCACACCTGAATATTCAGAACTGCAAATCAAGAATCCGAGGATGGGAAACCATCCTGTTCATTTCACCATGCTATTATTAAAACAACAAAACAAAACAAAAAAACACATTTATGTGAACAGCCTCGCTTTTGAAGATGTTTCTTCTAAAATTAAATAACATGACTATAGGAACACTAAAAGACATCTTCTAAAAAGATCTTTAGCAGACTTTAACCTATATTTGAATCTTTAAAAAAAGCTTTGTTTTTTTTTTTTTTTTTTTAAACTCATAGTTCATATATCTTACAAAACTTTTGAATACCAGCTCCATGTCTCTTGGGTGAAGACAGAAGGTGTAATATTATTTATAAGGGAGAATCTGGAAATAAAGCGTTAAAGTTAGTGAACATATCAGGTAAATAAAATGTACTGATTTCAAAGGTAGTCTGTTCCTTTTTTTATAGTTTTGTATTCACATAGTTCTTTCTTACTCTTGTACCATTTCATCTCTTTCTTCATCTCCTCTACCCTGCCCGCCCCCAGCAAAAGGCAAAACCAAAACAGTTTTGAGTTACTATATTTTGTTACTTTATGCTTATATTTGTCTGATTTTTTACTTGAGTTTGGCAAGTTATTTGGTGATGTGATGATAATTTTATTTCTAATTAATTTGGCATGTGTTAACTGAGCCTTACTGTAAAATGGGAAATACCATTTCTGTACTCATAATCATCCTCATGCTCCCAACCTTCCCCACCCCCATTACAGAGAAAGGAGTCTTTTAAAACTATCAATTTCTTACCTTGGTCCTCATCAACAGTCTCCAGGGAGATAGTCTTGTACCATTCTTTATACAGGCAAATGGTATGGCTATCAAATGGTCTTGTATTTTGAAATGGAAGTACAAAATCAGCCCTTGGTATTGTGAGGTCTGTTTACTGTTTATAGTGTTTTTACTTTAATTAAATTCTGACATCTTTGTGGAAGATTACATCTGTCATTGAGCTCCTTGATCAAGACTATGAATTTTATTTAATTTCTACTCTTACTCTAAAAGTATTATGAAAAGATTGGATGGTAATATGGATTTATGTGGATAATGGATAATACCACCTTAAAGTAGAGTTGACCATGATGATGTTAATGGAGTAAAACTTTTGGGAGCTTTATTTGCTAGTGGAACACAACTCAAAATGAGGAGAAACAGCTGCAAACAGCCATTATTAATTGGACAGTGGAATGTATGAAGTATGAATCTAGAGAAATTGGAAGTTGTCAAAAATGGGATGTATAAAGATTGGTATCAATAAAATGGACTGGTATTGACCAGTTTGAATTAAATGATCATACGGTTTTCTATATTAATTGAAGAGGTGTGGCATCACATTCATTGTCAAAAAACCAAAAACATTTCAAGGTCTACCTTGAAGAACAATACTGTTTGTGATCAATATAATATTTATATGCCTATAAGGAATACCAGTGTTGATTGTGCTAATGAGTCAGTTTGACTCATAACGACCCTGTACAGGGTTTCCAAGGCTGTAAATCTTTACGGGAGCAGAAAGCCTCATCTTTCTCCTGTGGAACAGCTGGTAGTTTCAAACTGCTGACCTTAAGTAATCCTATTATTAAAATTTATACATCTATAGCTAAAGCCAGTGATGATGATACAGAAGAATTCTACTAACTTTTTCAGTCTGAAATTGATCAAACATGTATTCAAGATGCACTGGTAATTACTGGTGATTGGATTGTGAAGGTTGGCAAAAAAAAAAAAAGCAACAGTAGTTGGAAAATTCCACTGGTGATAGAAACAATATGGAGATCACATGACAGAAATTTGCAAGACCAATGAGTTTGTCATTGCAAATACCTTTTTTAGACACATGGACTTTATGATGTAGTACACAGGATTCAAATCTGTGGAAAGGAGCATGGAAAAGCTCAGTATCATCAGCTAAAACAAGGCCAGGGACCAACTGTGGAACAAGCCATCAATTGCTTATATGCAAGCTCAGGCTGAAGCTGAATAAATTTAAAACAGTCCACGAAAGGCAAAATATGACCTTGAATATATCTCACCTGTTTTTGGAAACCATCTCAAGAACAGATTTGATGCACTAGAGATGAAAGGCCAAAGACCAGAAGAGTTGTGGGGTGACATCAAGAACGTCAGTCAGGAAGAAAGCAAAAGATCATTAAAAAAACAAGAAAGAGGGAAAAGACCAAAATGGATGTCAAAGAGACTCTGAAAGTACCTCGAGTGTAGTAGAGAAGCTAAAGCAAACGGAAGAAATCAGGGATGTAAAATAGCTGAACAGAAAATTTCAAAAGGCAGCTCAAGAAGACAGAGTCAAATATTATAATGAAATGTTAAAAGACCTGGGAGAACATGGTATTTATTTTTCGAGCTGAAAAAATTGAAAAAAATTCAAGTTAGATTTCAATATTGAAGGCTTCTATTGGCAAAATAGTGAATGATGTGGAAAGAAAATTGATGGAATTTACAGTCACTTTACCAAAATGAAATGATTGATATCCAACCATTTCAGGAGGTACCATATGCTCAAGAACCGATAGTACGTAAGGAAGAAGTCCAAGTTGCACTGAAGACATTGGTGAAAAACAAGGCTCCAGGAATCGACGGAATACAAATTGAAATCTTTCAACAAATTGATGTAGCCCTGGAGGCACTCATCTATGCCAGGAAATTTGGACGACAGCTACTTAGCCACCAAATTGGAAGAAATCTGTGTTTGTGCGCATTCCAAAGAGAGGTGACCCAACGGAATGTGGAAACCATTGAACAAGATTTTTAATATCACATGTAAATAAAATTTTGCTGAAAATAATTCAAAACCAGTTACAACAGCACATAGAAAACTGCCAGAAATTCAAGATGGATTCAGAAGAAGATGTGGAACTAGGGCTATCATTGCTGATGTCAGACAGATCTTGCTGAAAGCAGTGAATACCAGAAAGGTGTTTA